ATATTGCCTCTTTAACTCATTAATTAGTGATTTAATTTTATAAATTATTAATTTAAAGGTAGTAGTATATGATAAATATTTTAGCTTATTACAGCAAAAATCAGATCTTTAGTTATCTTTAATTATCTTTTAATTATCGATGTTCAATCAACTTTTAGTATTGATACGCGATAATTGAATAATATATAATTATGCAAATAACATTTCAAAATTGAATATATGCATAAAGCAAAATTTAAAATATTATTGGCAAATATATAAACAAAGAGTATCATATTAAAATTTATCATAAATGTAAGTAAATAAGAATTAAAAAAATTATTTCTCTTATTTAAAATTTGAGAAAATTATATGATAAAATCAAGTAAATCTCCATCGCCCCTTTCTTTTGTGAGAAAAATTCGAAATTTTCTTCCGCCCGACTATCCCTGACAGGATTACGGTGAGAATGTTTTATGCGGGTGCATCACAAGTGCATCGCCGATTTCGCAAGGTCAGTGTACCGGAATAAGCCGCGTTATTTTTTCAAGGATGTGCACGCGATGTATCGTTTTTCGTGCCCGCTCGAAAGCCCGGTCGTCCCAGCTGAAGGCAGTCACTTAATATGTTTTCGAGGAGGGATTAGGTGTCGTGTTTCGGACTTAACCGTATAATGTAGGCTTGCCAGACTCGGCAGAGCATCTGCTTCCAAGCCCTCGACTGGTGTCCCTCCGAGGGACTCGACGTCTCGACTTTTCGAGGCCGCTGGGGAGATGACTGAGGAACACCGAGATAGAGAGATAGAAAGAGAGAGAATACTGTCATGTACCAACACATAAACGGATTGTAAAAGTGTGCGAGGACATTGACTATGACTGACATATAGGGATGATGTAGGTAAATTCAATACGTATCATTAATTCAGTTGTCAAGGAATTATTGAAAACGTTCAAATAAATTATTTAATATTAAAATGCAATCTCCAGTTATTAAATTAAATCTAGATATTGTTCATATAATAAAAATTTATATAATGTAATATTATATTATATATAATATTATTATTATTACATAATAATAATATCTAATATATGATTTATATAATATAATAATATATAATATATAATATATAATATATAATAATAAATAAATAATAAATAATAATAAATAATAATAAATAATATATAATATATAATAATATATAATAATAAATAAATAATATATATAATAATAAATAATAATAAATAATATATAATAATAAATAATATATAATATATAATAATATAATAATAAATAAATAATAAATAATAATAAATAATATATAATATATAATAATAATATCTAATATATGATTAAATATAATTTATATTAAATTTATTATTATTATAAATTTATTATTATTATTGTAAATATATGTCAAACATATAACATAATATATGTAACAAATGTCCCCATGTGATTTGTTGCGCGTTTGTGACAAGCAGTGTTTTAAATTTGAATTAGTCTCTTTGATATATGCGTTGCGACCTTAAGAGAGATCGTCGAAATATATTTGAAACATTGCAAATTCTTACACGTATTTCGCATTGCGAAATTTACACGTTGTTAGAAACGTTGTTAGTTGTTGCGCGCAGTAAATTGAGTTCTTGAAAATACACTCTGGTATTGTCTTGTTATGAATATGCGGTTTGCGCACAAAGATAGTCTTCCTAGTTCCTGCCGTTGCGCGAAGGGACATATGCAAACTTGTTATCATTGTGTGTAATGGGAAATTCGCCATTAAAGCAACAGTTGGTAGAATAGTGGATGTTTTTAGAAGTATATTATATAGCATCTGTTTCTGCGTCAAAGAATAAAAACACGCTACATTAAAAGAAAAAAAAAATATTAAAAAAATAATAATATTGCAAGTTGAGATTAATTTATGCAGCTAAAAAATATCTTTTAAATATTCCGAAAGTTTGCATATTTTATGATATTTTTACATATGTGTAATTTATTTCGCTTTTAACATAGAAACGACTTTTATTGCGGATTTAAATTTGTGATCGTATTAACGTATCAGTAATATTTTCTCTTATTTAAACATCTCGAAAATATTTCAAAAATAATTCTTGAAACATCTTGTTTTGTGATCGGGTTATTTATTCTCGATTAATCATAATAATAATTTTACGATCAAATTATAATTAGTATTATTTTATATTTGAATATTTTCATCTGTTGATAAGATGATCAGAAAATATGCGTTCTCTCCGAAAACTGTCAAAGATATATAAGTCTACTTCCTTATTTTATGCGATATTACAAGACAAAGATATAGTCCAATATTGCAGATCGTGTTTCAAACACGCTACGCTTACAAAGACAGTTATGTTCGCGTATTTCTTTTTTTCGGTGCGACCATCGGAGCGGTTTCAAACTTAAACGAGCCGCGGCTGACCTCACATCCGCTTCTCTTGGGGCGTGAATAGAATCAAATGGAACGGAGGGTTACTAAATGACAATGGTCAACTCGTACGCGCCGGTTCTTATTTCCGGTACAGCAATGCGGACATTGTTCGTCGCATCCTGCGTAGCATATGACAGCCACGTTATTTGTCGTATTTTTTTCTGTATATCTCAATTACTTTAGATAATGCAAAAATTTCCTTTTTGCGCATATCGCATTAAAATAATTTGTTTTCAAAAATTTGATGAGATTTATACATATATATAAATATAATTAAAATATAAAATTATTAATGTATTATTTATATTTAATGTCTTATGTTATAAAAATTTAATTATATTTAATTTAAAATTTAAAATTTAATTATATTTAATTATATTTAATTATATTATTAATTATAATATATTTTTAAAAAATATTAAAATAAATGTATAAATTAAATATATAAATATATAAATAAACTATACTTGTTTATTTAAGAAAATAATTGTGCTAACCATCTTATGATAATTTTATAATCTCAACTCTTGTCTGATTCTAATTAAGATTATATATGTGTTGCGGTAAGTACAAGCTCATAAGATTCAGGATCATCGTTATGTGTTGAGAAAGATGTTTCCATAAACGTACAATTACCATTCGAATGGCTCAATTTGCACTGTTTTACATTCAGTTTGTATCTTAGAATTATGATGTAGAATTATATTTTCCCCTTCTCGGAATATTACCATAATACCGAAATTGTATAAACGTTTCGTATAATGCCGATTTTATTGCAAATGATTACAGTATTTTCATAGTAACTGAATATAAAGCGCAAGATTAAGATAATCGAAAAGATAGATTAAAATTACATTAAATTTTACGCAAGATTTTGTTATCTATATATTATGTATAATATATCAAAGATTAAATTAGGAAAGATGTTAAAGATAAAAAAAGATTAATTTAAGAAATGAATAGATGAAATTATTTAGATTTATGTAATCTTGAGGTGAGGATTCCACACAATTCAATTTATATAATTGATCCTATTATCAATTTCAATCTTTCTCTTTTCTATAAGTAAGTAAAAATATTACTTTAATCACACAACAAACTCTAAAACAAAATAGAATGTAACATGTCAATATTATATATTGACATGTCTTCAATAATTCGTGATAATTTTAATTCCTTGAAACTTTTCCACTTTCGTATTCTTATAATTAAATCTGTAGATGTCTGGAGATTGAAATAAATTTTAATTTCCGTCAAATGCTTTTATTTCCCTAAGTATTTCTCTTTGAACTTTAGAAGAGAGAGAGAGCAGAAAGCTAAATAAATATAGGACGCCCCATATACTTTGAAAGACCTAATTGTTCAACATACGTTATATAATCTACAGGACTGTTCGATGGAAAATTAAGGTTAATTTGTTGCTTCCAATACGTAACAATGATCATGAGCTTTTGCGCGGAGCACGTTAACACGTAATGCTACATGAAGGCTTTCTCACGTTGCGGCCGATGCGCGTGTAATTGCCGCGAATAAATGCCGTCACGGTGGCGCAAATTGTTCACGGTTAATGAATTTACGGCTCTCGGCCGTTCAAATTCCAAACGGAACGATTGGAAAATGCAAAATCCGGAAATGTTCAAACGCGAACATTAGCCATCACATTATGGCTACCGTCAATCCGTCTGTTTCGACAAATTTATGGCATATCTGTCACGCATATAAAATGTTACAAGCAACGCGATATACTTTCTTATATCAGATTAAACGAAATATTTATATGTCCTAATTTCTGTGAAAGTATTACACAGTTTTTTCTGATGATTAAATAACAATATTCTATGAAATTAATACTATGCAATTTAAATATAATTCATTTATTTACTAAATGGGAAAATTTTTTTTATGCTATTCAACATTTATGACTGATAATCGTAGATACTTTTTGAATTAAATTTTTTTACAAAGAAGCGTTTTAAACGAATGCTTTTTTATTAAATGTTTTATAAAGATTCTTTCAATCTTTCTAAAAGTTCGACGTTTTATAATAAAATTAAACCTCCCTATACAAAAAATTTTGCAACGTCAGCAGACAATATTGCGAATGTGCAAATTAGGATGCTCCAAGTTAGACAAAAATAAAAAGAAAAAAAATATAAGTAAAAAAAATTATTAAAGCGAGAGAAAAAGATAATGAAATAATTAATTTATATAATTTAATTTATATAATATGAATATTTAATTTATAAATATTCAATTAGTAATTACATAATAAAATAAATTAACTGATATGTGCATATTGAACTCTTGATAGATCTAGATCCAAATATATCTATTTTTAAATATATTATAATCTGTTTCTAATTAACAAAAAAGAAACTTGAAAACATTTTTAATTACATAATATTCTACTAATTTTTATTTATGTTAACTCCTATATATTTTTCGATTCTCCTCTTCGTCCATTAAAAGCACTATCAAAAGCAAGTGTAATCATGTATTATCTTTCATTTTTTAAATCAACAATTTTCAGTTGTTTAAATTAACAATTTTCTGTGTTATCTACTTTCAGTTGATGTCAACACTGATGCTCTAGTAAAGGTACTGGAGTTTTAGGAGAGAACGAGAGAGAGAGAGAGAGAAAGCAAGAGAGAAAGTGAACGGGACAAATAAGGCAGGATGTGGCGCGTACGAGTTATCGTCTTCCTACTGGCAGCCACTTCCGTCACCTACGCCAAGGTGGCCGTGTTGCCGCACGATGTTTACCCCGGTTACGAGGTGACACAGTTCCGGGGCGACGCGAGTCGTCCATCTAACTTTCGCCTCCTGGAGACCGGTTTCTCCAAATATTTCACCGTGCTGGGCAACGGCCTGGTGATGACGACGTCGGATCTAACGCCGCTGGTGGATCGCCCGGTCAACCTGATCGTCTTGGAGGAACTGGCCAACGGCACGCAGACCCATGACCTTCACCTTTACGTCATCAATCGTCGGAACATGCTGACCTTCTCGCACGATCGCCTTGGCGAAGGTGAAGTGCCGGAGAACTCGCCGGCCGGCACGCGAATAGACGGATTTCCGGTTCTGCGGGCGCACGGTAGCTTCCCGGTTCATTACAAAATTCTGCCGGACGATGACGGGGAACGTCCGTTTGCCCTTCGCGAGAACGAGTCCAACGAGACCGGCTTCAACCTCACCCTGAAGAGCCAGATGCAGGGCGTCCGGATAGTGACGGCGAAACCACTGGACCGTGAGATACGCGGTCTTTATACCATCGTCATACACGCGTCGGACGGCAACTTCCTCAGCACGTCCAAGATCAGCGGTATCGTCCACGTGCTCGATCAGAACGACAACAGCCCGATCTTCGAGCGCGAGCTCTACGTCTTCGAAATCAGGCCGACTAATCTAGACACATTACGCAAGAGTAACGTGGTCTCGCTGCTCGGTTGGAAGAGGTTCTCCACCGTAGGCAAGGTCACGGCCAAGGATGCTGACGGGGACAGGGTCGCGTACAAGCTGGTCACGCCTAGCAGTCTGCTGATCGTTGTGCCGCAAACCGGCGAGCTGCTGCTGGCCGGCGAGCCGGAAGTCAGCCCGGAGCAGGACGGTGAATGCGAGTTGGTGGTCGAAGCGCATGATCTACGCACGCCGAGTCGCAGCACCGAGAAACCGGCCAAGGTCATCGTGAGATTCCTCACCACTGAACCCGATCAACAGCCCGAGGTACACCGGATACAAAAGAGGAGGGTCACCCGCGCGGTGAGGCCGACGAAGAAGGTCGACTTTACGGAGGCGGACGGAAATATCGAGGGCAAGATCGCATTTTATCTCGAGAAGGAGAACGAGAAGGAGACTTATAAGATAAGAGACGAGAACAAGTGGGTCACCGTGGGCGCCAATGGTTCGGTGATGGTCAAACAAAAGTGGGATTACGAGGAGCTGGGTCCGGAAAAGACTATCGACTTCTGGGTTACTATCACAAACACAGGTACAGGTAATATCGCAAAAATTTTCTATACATTTTCTACCTATAAAATCCCTTGGCCAATTTGCTGTCAATTTTTTTCTGTAAGTATATTTATAATTATATTTATTTTATATCCATGTGTTATGAAAGATATATTTTAAAAATTATTATTTTAATTTCACTTTAGTTTGTATTTTTATATAATGGATGATATTCGGATATGTGTATGATATATGTTTTAATTGTTTTCATATTGTTTAATTAATTTTTACTTTTGCCAATGTTCCACGTGTCAAGAGCCATGCGCGCGATATCCACCCGGTGTCCCGTGCCCATTTTACGATGGTATAATTTTTTGTTTAAATAAATATTGCCTGAAATAATTTCAACTGGCACATTTCACGGTCTGTCTTCATATATTCACGCTTTTCTCTTCATTCAAATTCTATCTTTAGGAGTTTAATTTAAGGTTGTGGTATTTCTAACTTAAGTACAGAAGAATAAGAATATTGGCAGCAAATATAATTCTTAATAATATAGTAAATTATGAATATATACAGCAAAAATATTTCAAAATGTGCGCTATATTTTTATCTATTTTTAATATGTAGATATATTTTTGCATAAGTTTTGAATACTCTTATATATAGAAAATAATAATTTATATATTTATAATATAAAAATAATGATAATAAAAATCGCGTTTTCTTTAGTTACGCGTTATAAAGTAACATATTGCGTAATTGTGATTTATTATACGAGATATTTATTGCTGTATCTATCAATAATTCCTTGTTTCCACGTATATATAGAGCTAATAGTAATTATAACTCTTTTCTTTTCTCGCATCATCGGTTTCCAAAGGATTCCAATGTAAGTAGCAATTCACATCGCCTACTTCAATACTAAACAAATAATGCTATACATATTAATTAAATATTGATACATATCATATTGCTTTCATATTGCATTTTAATATCTCTCGAAAAACACATCTGTAAAAGCACATTTTCTTGTTTACATGCTTTTAGTAAAATTTTAGAGATTGCAAATTACTGTTTATCAGTGCTGAACGCTATTTGCGGTTGAAACTAAAAATGTATATTTACATTATAAAAAAACATCAAAAAATATTATTAAAAATTTAATTGAATCTCTCATTTCCATGCAAGTATAATTATGTAACATGAAAAAATATATTGGATTAAATGTTTGCCATGTAATTAATTCAATATAATAAAATTTCTCTCGACATAAAATATTATGTTAAATTTAATTCAATCATTGTCTCTGAAAAAGAATCAATACGTAAATAAATATGTATATAATTTATATTTTCATTGATTAAGTAATATCGAAAATTGAATTTATTCCGAAACATTTCGAAACTTTTTTCGAATGTTTTATTAAAAATTAAAATAGCGTTGTAATAATAATGATAAAAATTTCGCGACGCCCAAATAGCGTATCAGCAGCTGCTCTAAACCGCTAATAGTGCTTTTATGACTGCTACGTAAATGCGGCAATCGATGTGACGTTATAGATACCGACAATCAGCGCGTCATCATCAACATGAAGGACGTCAACGACGAGCCTCCGTATTTCATTAATCGGCCTCTACCGATGCAAACAGTCGTCCAGTTGAATGCACCGCCGAACACTCACGTGTTTACCCTTCAAGCCAGGGATCCCGACACCGACCATAACATCCATTACTTCATCGTGCGAGATCGAAGTACGTATAATAATATGAGTAATCAAAGTTCGATATTTCGATCATTAACGCCCGCTTATCGTTGATGATACTTGATATAATGACTAATGAGATGTATTAATATGTCGCGAAATACATACGCTCTTGTATATTTAACTTTTCTAAAGACTTCATAATTTTGCGATTTTATTTAAGTAAAATATTTATGCGAATTGTTAAGTGAATTATAGAAAATAATCTTCGACATTTCCTCGTGTAAAATTGAATACGTCTTTGTTATGGCAAATAACTGATTTTTTTTTTCGGGTAATATTTTAATGAATATGGAACTAAAATTACTTTCGTAGGAAATTTCTCTTGTACATTCTGTTTTCATATTCGCATTAAAATAAAACTATCGTATGACTGAAATTTAATGCTGTTTGTATTACATAAACATTACATTATTATACATTATTATACTTATATATTACATTACATTATTTGCATCTAAAATTTTTTATAAATTAATTTTTATAAAATGTTTTTCTTCAGGAAAAAATGTGATGAAAGGAAACTACATATTTATTAAAAAAATCATAAAAAAATAATAATTATGATATTGTATTATAATTATCTTTATATAAATATTTTCGAGAAAATAATGTATGAAAACTGCTCTGACAAATGCTGAGTAGAAATTAAAAAAGCTAATTATCTTATTCGTTTAAAACATCAAAGAAATTGATACTGAATTTTTCATAAAAAATGTTTTGTTATTCAACAATAGTGCTTCATTAATTACATGAAAAATATAGTGGATTTAACATAGCACGTAGCACCACGTAGAAGCATGCGGAACAATCGCATGCACAGCCTAATTATTAATCTACATGCATCGTATCGGTGTAAAATCACACATTGACCTCATCGAAAATGCATCCAATGATTACAACGGTGACCCGGTATCATATTTCGTAATTTACAGGATTATATCGTAATGATGCTATTATGCCAAATGCTTTTCCACAACGATCGCGTTATGATATGATAAACAATTTTTGTTACGCAACACGATATGAAGTATGCTTGTAACTTTATGCTGCGTTATTAATAATGCCTTAAACTAACGGATAATAGTAGCGTAAATGCTATCAAATGTTAAACTAAAATTCACCATTTAATTCTCCTAAAATGCCATTCACAGGCTTTGGATAGGAATCATTTGTTTGATTTATATATTTCTTTGAAATACAAACTACCATTTCAGTCATTTCTAACGTTTTAATATTATACAAATGAAAAGTGATTTTATTTTTAACATTATATAATTGAAAAGTCATTTTTATATGAAATTTATAATACTAAGAAATGTTTTTTATGCACTTTAATTATTTCATTTCTGAGTAATTTAAATGCGAAGACGCACAATCGCGCGGAGCATCGTGTAATCAATACCGAGCTCTCGCGAGATCTTCATTGGTGAGACTATCGCACAGATAATGGCTGCTTTAATCAATCAATTAATTAATTAATTATCCACTATGCATACGCAGCTGGTGGCCGCTTTGAGGTCGACGAGAGATCGGGGGTGGTGCGTACTCGTGGAACCGATCTCTTCCAGTTGGATATGGAGTACGTCCTTTACGTGAAAGCCGAGGATCAGAACGGTCGTATCGACGAGAGGCGTTTCCAGTCGACTCCTGAGGAGAGACTATCGATCGTCGGTGGAAAACGCGCACCGCAGTTCTATATGACGGCGTACGAGGCCGAGATACCGGAAAATCAGAAGAAAGACTCCGAGTTAGTTCGCAAGTCAATCCCCATAATCATTTGATTCTCTTTTAGATTCGAGTCTGTACGTATTTCAAGGAAGATTTGAAATTTTCTCGAGACTCTTCTTTTATATAATTATTAAATAAATAATAATTTGGCAATATTTCTGGAATACGAAGGCTCAATTTTAATATCTAAATTATCGTTACATATATATAATTATAGAAAATAAATGAAAAAGTGGTTTCTATAATTATATTTTGCTTTCAATACCGCAAATTATGTAACATTTTTAAAATAAAAAAATTACTGGCATCTTTTTTTTTTCTGCAATCCATTTGTAAAAGTTATAAGGGATGTTCTTTTCCTCTTGGAAATTAATTATTTTCAACAAATTAATGTTTCCCATTTTTATATTACTCTTATAATTATTCTCTTACATCTAACTTATTCGTGTCCTTTTATACGCTCTCGATATTATTTGTTACAAGACTGCTTGCATTTGATTATCATAACTAGTCGACTTGAGAGTTTACTTTCGAGATTGTTTATCTTCCAAGGGTTTCAGTTGACTTTTCGAATTTCAATCTGAATTCGACCGAGTTACTTTCGCATGACATATAATCAAGATTTATTCGGGAACTTGTTCCCCTTTACATCACGTATCTTTGTGCTTATTTTTCTTCGCGAGAGATGTTCGTGCAAATGTCACATGTTGAAACTTTTCAGCATAATATCGGTGAAAGCCAAGTCGTTCGCCGATCGAGAGATACGTTACACGCTGAAGGCGCAAGGTCAAGGAGCCGCAGGTACATTCAACATCGGGCCGACTTCCGGAATCGTGAAACTTGCGAAAGAACTGGATTTTGAGGATTTGCGACAGCCTCACATTTATTCTTTGATAGTAACAGCGACGGAGGACTCTGGTGGTTTCTCGACATCGGTCGAGGTAAATGGATTTACGTTTTACTCCAACTATGAAGTGCTGTTTTCTTGCTATCGCAATAGAAATAACATTTCCTTTTTCCCCGCGCAGAATACATTTGCATGCTTGCTATTATTTCTTCTCTCGTTGAATCATTTGTTTCTAGAACTAAATATCAATCGATACGTTTCGTTCATATTAATCACGTTTATTGTCTTATTAAAATTTTAGCTTACGATCCGAGTGTCCGACGTGAACGATAATGCTCCTAAGTTTGAACTACCGGATTATCAAGCTCACAACGTCGACGAAGATATCCCGCTGGGAACGAATATATTGAAAGTCAAGGCGACCGACGCTGATTCGGGGGCAAACGCCGAAATAGAATATTTAGTGTCCGACGATCATTTCAGCGTGGACTCCAATGGCATTATCGTTAATAATAAACAGCTCGATGCGGATAACAATAACGCTTATTACGAATTCATCGTAACCGCTAAGGACAAAGGTAAGTAGACGAAGAAGCAATAAATTACGCGGATACAAGCTCGCATTTTAGAATGTGACTTCAATTAATAAAAATATATGTATATTTTCTATAAACCCCAAGCCATCTCGATGTATTCTATAGCGATGTAATTAATCGGATCCGATTTATAATTTATTCGTCTTGTCGCGTATCGAGATATATCATCGATTATATCGATTTTCATGGATGGTCGTTAACGTTTCTCAATATCTGCTTCGCTGAAAAAATGTCGACTGTCCTGAAATTGATGTTACCCGGAGATTTGGTCACGAAAGCGCCAAGATTGGAAGGGATGCCCTTTTATATGTTCTGTCAGCAGGCCGAGGATCAGCTTTGAGCGGCTAAATCTCACGAATTTGGTTTTCAAACGAGCTCCAAATCCCTGTCTTGCGCCGCGCGGTATCAAGCTCGTATTCACATAGACGCAAATTTACGTTATTTGCATATATATACACGGCGCGAATGCGAGGTGATTTCCAAATAAGTCGAGGTTTAATTGGAAATAAAGCGGCCGAATCCGCACATGTCGGCTAACATGTGCGCTTTTATTTAATGCGCGATCATGCGTGCAAATCACCTCGCGCGAGATTTTGACTTTGTACTAAAGATACCGCTTAACGTACACATTGCGAATTCATTAATTTAAATTAATACAGCGCAATTTTCATAATGTTTGAATCGATATTGTCATCGTAAAGCGCGATTTATATTGTGCCGAGCGATTTAGAGTCACGTACTTCCCTTTATCGCGGTTACGTTTTGCATAAACATCAAGTTATCGTTAATCTTCAAGTTTAACAAATCGTTGCATATAACACGAACAAAATATTTAAAATATATATTATATTATTATTACATTATTATTCGATATATTGTATTATTTATGAAATATATATGAAATATTTTTTATAAAAATATGAAATATATATTTTTCATATAAATTAAATTAAATAAAAATATTTAATATAAGACTAACGAGTTTATCTTTCAGGGGAACCGTCGAAAACCGGAACCGCGACAGTACGAATATACACAAAGAATAAAAACGACGAGGAACCGAAATTCTCCCAGCAGGTTTACACGCCTAACGTCGACGAGAACGCCGGACCGAATACCTTGGTAACCACCGTCGTTGCATCTGATAAGGACGGCGATGACGTGCGATTCCGATTCGTTGGCGGGAACACCACGTCGGGACAGTTTGTGATCGAAGAGATTACGGGAGTAATTCGTCTTCACGGCAAGGAAATCTCCCTGGATCGTGATAAATATGAGCTAAACGTCACGGCCTTGGACGACGGGGCGTGTTGCCCGAACGGTGCTCAAACTATTCACACCAGCACCGCGGTTGTCGTGGTGTTTATAACCGACGTGAACGACAACAAGCCGTTGTTCAAAGATTGCGGGATGTATTATCCGAAAGTGGAGGAGGGCGCGCCAAACGGCAGCCCTGTCATCAAGGTACAGGCTACTGACGAGGACAAGGGTGTCAACGGACAAGTCAAGTATTCGATCGTCCAACAGCCCAATCAAAAGGGCACCAAGTTCACCGTTGACGAAGAGACCGGTCAAGTCTTGACCAACAAGGTACATTTATTAACGATCCTTCAATATTATATTTCAATTATATATTTTTAAAAGCGAGAGAGATTTATTTATTTAATTAATTCTTATATTTTTGTCGGCAAAGTAAATGGATGAAAGTTGATTTCGAATGAAATTTTATACTCGACTCTTTCGTTCGAAGCTTTCAACAAAGATATAAATGTTGCGATAACTTGATCGAAATGCACCGGCTTTAAAAAGGTAGCTTGCAACTCGCATATAATGAAAAGTATTTAATATTCTTTGAATACATTAACGAATATCTAACAATCATAATTTTCGTTTCTACCATGTTACCTTGCCATCTTTTATACATGTCATATAGACCGAGCGATAAACACGCAAAGCACTCAACATTTTAATTATTGCTCGTGTCATGAATCCATAAAGATCCATAATAATAATAAGATATCAGCTTTATATGTGCATTTCATCAGTTTTTACATGTTCTCGCTTTTTCATATCTCCCATCAGTTCTCGCTTTTTCATATCTCGCTACATTAATCAATGGAAATTAATATACATATTTTACTTATTGCTGAATGAATATATATAAAATTTTGAAATAATTCTCGTGAGAAGATTACATTAGTTTTGTTGCTTTAATTATATCATTACTATCTTATGCACTGAAGATCAAATTTTTATTGAAATTTTTATTATATCGAGGCAATTTTCTCATCTTATTCGTATTCAATAATACGATTATATTTTCAGGTTTTCGATCGTGAAGGCGATGACGGGAAATTCGTGTCCGTCACTGTTAAGGCGACGGATCAGGGTGAACCATCGTTAGAAGGTGTTTGCTCATTTACCGTCGAAATAACGGACGTGAACGACAACCCGCCGTTGTTCGACCGACAGGTGGGTACACTTAGTCAGACTCGAAGGTAAACATTTAAGGAAAGAACCCCTTTCGGAGTAGAAATGCGCGAGCAGATGTCCGGAAGTAAGATCGCGCGCTGACGGAACCACCAGCAGGGTGCGTTATGCTTCGATGCACGTAACTCGAGAGACCATTAACAATGTAACTTTGGGCTAGTTTCGCTGCTTACTCGATCAAGATGCATACATTGTCGTTTATCGATTTAATATATATATATATGTATGTGTATAAGAGCTTGCGCGCCAAAACAAGTGGAGCAAGTCCATAATTTGTAAAGTCCGTAGCATGATATCGTATCTAAAGTGCATCTCATAAATTATGGACTTGGCTCACTTTTTCATGTTTAAAATCGTTATGTGTATATTACGATATGTTTTGCGAGGTATTTGCATCAAACTTTGAGTGCATAATCTTCCGGTTTTGGATTTAAATTTCGAACAATATTTGAGAAAAGGCCATTTTATCGTACATTATTTTAATGAATTTATAAGTCTTCTAAAGATTCTATTAAAATGACACTGAAAATTAAATAAACAATGATATTTCGACGAACGATTTTGCGATCCTGAAACACGGGAATATATCTTATAATTTTTAATTTTAATCAAGTAATTATACATCCGGATATAAATATAAAATTAAATATAAAATTAACGCGTCCGACTTTAAAGAAGAATTCATTTATCACATATTATTTTAATAAATTTTAAGTTCTCTAAAAACTCTATTAAACTAAAATGAAACTGAAAATTATATAAACAATGATATTTCGACGAACGATTTTTCATCGAATTCAATCCTGAAACACGGGAATATATCTTATAATTTTTAATTTTAATCATGTAATTATCCGCATATAAATATCTTCGGAAATATTTAAATGTAAAATTAATGCGTTGGACTTTAAAAAAGAATTCATTTATCGTATATTATTTTAATGAATTTTAAATCTTCTAAAAACTATTAAAATGAAACTGAAAATTAAATAAGCAATGATATTTCGACGAACGATTTTGCATCGAATTTTGCGATCCTGAAACAAGAGGATATCTCTTATAATTTTTAATTTTAATCATGTAATTGTATATCCGGATATAAATATCTTCTACAATATTTAAATATAAATTTAACGCGTCGGACTTTGAAGATATATTATTTTAATGAATTTTAAGTCCTCTAAAAACTCTAAAATTAAAATGAAACTGAAAATTAAATAAACAATGATATTTCGACGAACGATTTTTTACCGAATTGCAATCCTAAAACACGGAGGTATATCTTATAATTTTCAATTTTAATCATGTGATTTTAATTATATATCCGGATATAAATATCTTCTGAAATATTTAAATGTAAAATTATTGCGTCGGACTTTGAAGGGGAATTAAATTTTTGTTTTCACGCAGAGATATGTGGAAAACGTGAAGCAGGATGCGAGCATAGGAACAAATATATTGAGAGTGTCGGCATCCGACGAGGATGCTGACAATAATGGCGCGATCGTATACTCGCTGAGTTCACCCAACAACGAGCAGAATCTGGAGTACTTTGAGATCCAACCAGAATCTGGTTGGATAGTATTAAAGAAGCCCCTAGACGTGAGTATCCCCATAAAAATTGCTGATATCTTACATATCGTCTCTCTTTAGCAGTATAAAACAGCATCGTTCTCCTGGAACACTCCCACTTTTTCGTGGGCGAGGCTTGCAATTTTTCTTTGCGGCTTGTGCTAGCTTCTTTTGCTCTTGACGTTCTCTACGATACACACGATAACTATAATAATATAATTCTCAGCAATTCAAAATTATTATGTCCCGCGCGAAATGATTCATCGACGTTACTCGCGAGATCATCCAAAATGTCATCGCGATATATACTCGTCCCGAATAAGTGTACGCGTGTCCCAGGATAATGCGTAGGCTACGTAGTATATACTATATCTATTTATATATATATATATACGTATATATATGATATCGTATAAATACAAAACTTGAGTGTACACCTTCTGCCGATATATTGTACGTTTGCGTTGACTTACGTTATATTTAACACGAATCCGTTTTGTTGCTGAGCGGATAAACTTGTACTAATATACGTTTTGGTCGGCAATTATTTCTCTCATCACTAATATGCAACGAAATGAGTTTCCTTTTTACGGCACATGTATAGAACTTTTTAATTCCCATTGATATGCACAATGTGTTCACTATGGTAAATACTTAGCTATGCCTGATTTCCTCAAACGCTTCATGTACCTGAATCGATCGACCGTTCGGGCTATTTTTGCAACAAAACACTCTCTCTCTGTCTCTCTCATTCTCTCTATTGAGAACATACTCGCGGCGCGAGTACCTTTTTAAAAGATTCCAAACGAAGCTTTGATACCTCTTGTCCAGTTTTTTCATTCAATTTTCGTCGAGAATCGGTCATCGAATTACCTATGAGCGGTCGAAAAAAAAAAAAAAAAAAAATACATACGCGTATATCTTTTCTTTTCCGTCCTTCTTGTTCTCTTTACTTAAATTTCCCTTGTTTGCCGTTCGTTTCATCGCGTTTTCCGGTTTTGCATCGCGACACCAATCATAGTTTTCGATCAATTTGCAATATGCCGACGCGTAATTTTGCAGAGAAAAATAAAACGCGTGCGGATCGGCCCAAAACGTGCGCGTTCACGGCCGACCGAACGTGTGTACTTTTCATACTTTTCCCGAAAAAAAAACATGGTCAAAGAAAGGAATGCGTATTATTTTTCTTTTTGTGCGTGTTACGCGTTGGAGAAAAACGGGAAAGAATGGAAAGGAAAGACGGTGATAAAACGATGATGAGATAAGAGATGTGATTATAAAAAAAAAAAAGAAATGGAAATATTCGGAGCAAACTATAATGATCTTTTAATTAATCAACTAACATTATTAATTGTGAATGTTTTTCAAAAGGGAAGTGATGTTTTTTGAACTTCCAGGAGCAGGTGGGAACGACATTTTTTGAGCCCCACGTACGGTGTACTTCAACCTCTACGCATTTTGTGGTGCATCAGACATAAACAATTTTTGACAATGCTTGCATATTTTATATGAATGTGTTTTTGATTCCTTTACAGGAACGGATCTCGCTCTCGCTCCTACATCCGTCCTTGCCCTGTCTTTCTCTCTCTTTCTCTCCTACTCTATCTTTATCTTTCTCTATCTTTAATTTCTCATTTTTTTCTCTGTTTTGTTTTTTTTGATATAAAATGATGAACTTTTTTGTATGTTGCATTTTGTATTTTCCTGTTATGTTGATGATTACTTTCTTAAATATGCCTGCTAATTATTGATTTTGATGCGTTGATTAGTTTCCTGATTAGTTTCCCTATCTATTTATCTATCTTTTCTTTGATCGGTTTGTATGTGAAAGAGAACCTATGTTCTTTATATTTCCTACTATGTTTTCAAGCTATCTTACATTATTATTTTTTCTCTACATATTTCTATAAACGTCTTTTCTCTTTCTTTAATATATTTTCTTTCTGACGTTTCCCGATTTTCATCCCATTCTCCCGGTATACCACGACGTGACTGACAAAGAAAAGGAAAAAGAATACGAAAAGTATTTTTGATCGAGAGCGTTTAGTAATGTATATATACATATACATATGTATAGATCATAAGAGAACTGTCCGTGGTGTGACATTTTTTCTTCTGTGATTGGGGCGGCATACCACTGTCGTGACGAAACGGGAAGAAAGCAAATGAAAGTGAAAGGAAAGCCGAAAAAAAAAAAAAACCAAACGTGCGGATTATAATCACTATCACGACGATTTAGAAATAACGTCCATCGGTTTTTGAGTGTCGTTAAAACGGAGAACGAAATCAGACGAGGGGTCGTCATAGTTTTTTTTCTCCCATCCAGTCTCAACGTCCCCCGCCCCTCTCCCCTCACGACAAATTTCCATATCCGTCCACGGTTACCAACCTCTCTCTTTTTCTCTTTCTGACTCTCTATTCTCCTTTTCTTTTCCGTCCCCCTCCCGATCGTCTCCTGATGCCTCTTTATCGCATTCTCGCTTGCATGCAAATGCCTGCATTGATTGATTTCGTAAAGGAACTAATTTCAACTTCTTATTGTTTATGTTTGTGTTTATTGCACCATTTACTTTCTTCGGATTTGATGATGACAAAAAAAAAAAGGGCTGTTTTCCAGTAAGTAGGATCTATATTCTTGTGTTTCACCTTGCATCGAGACACATTATGATGTGACAGCATTGTTACCTGCGCAAAAGAAAAGTATAATATTCGTTGCAAACTACTAGAGCGCCTTTCCGTTCGATTATTCAACATTATATCGTTTCGATGATTTTTTGCCTCTATTGTTGTTACTGTTGTCACTCGGAGACGTCACTCTCTTTTTCTCTCTTCTTCTCTCTTTCTCTGCTCTCTTCTTGTCGCTCAATTTTTCTATAAATCTTTCTCTTTATATCTATAATCGTCTCTCTTCAAATGTTTTCGTTCAAAAATTTGTTTTCACGCGTGATATATTTTTTTATGTACATACACGTGCTATCGCGCTATTTTCGCTCTTTTATCCTGGTCTCGTATGTATCCGCAAGTGGAGGATACCGTTTTAATGCCGGTATTCTATACCACTGACCTATCAATTTGTCTTTACGCGATATGGGATATCCGACGGACGTTTGATAAGTGTATCACAACAAATACACGCAATGGATGTTATTAGAAAGCTTAAATCTTTCCTAGTTTATCGGATTTATGAGAGAATCCTAGTTACTTTATTTATTAAACGAAAGAGCTTTAATTTATTTTATTTAATATTAATTTTTATTTAAAAATAAAAATGATGTACTGAATATAAATTGACTTGTTAAAAACTATTATATGACATCGTTTTGATTTTGATTTTTTACTTTGCATCTTAATGGCACAGCACTTTGTAATCTAATATTTGTAATTTTTCACAGCATCGTTTTTTTTTTAATGTAAATTATGTTTTTTAATAAAATCACAAAATGTACTCATTTTAGTCATGTGTGTCTTTTAGTTAACGTCCGTCGGATGGAATACAAAATTCTGGAACAACTTCAATAATTATTTTTAATGTTCCAGGAAGCCGATAGATCTCATTATTAACAATCTTATGAGATAGAAAAAACTCGACAAACGTATTTCTGAAGTACTTATTTGGAAAAGAAAATAAGTCGATCATAAAATCGATTTCCAAATGATTAATATAATGTAGAGCGTTTTTAAAAAAGAAATCACGATAATCTTGTATGACAAAAACGGGTGAATAGAATCAGCAAATTTTAAACTAAAGAATTAAAAATTAAAATTTCAAAATTAAAAGTTTATTCAATGTACAATTAAATTAAATTTAATTCTATCAATTTATTTACTATAATTATGCATTTGCAATTATACTTTTCATAATACAAACATTTTTAATTATAATTTTGTTTACCTCTATTACTATTCACCCGTTATTCTATTATACTAGATGTTTTAGAATTAATTACAATTTCTTAAATATATTTTTTGATATCTTTACATAAATAAGAATTTAAAAAAAAATAATATTTGTGAATTAAATGTAAACTTTATTGTGGAGACTAGAATTCAAAATTGCAGTAAAATAATATGTATCAAGAATTATAAAATTAATACATACAAATAATACAATTAAATTATTTAATGCAAATGGAAAGAAATATCAATTGCAAATAAATGACAGAATTTTAATGAGAAAATAATTCTAAAGCATCTAGTATATTTTCCGCTTTCGTGTTATTTCGGATGAGCAAGGATAAACATAACATTTCATGCAATCATTACTTGTAGTATTCAATGCAATTCTTGTGTACGCACTTTTTCACTTTTCTAAAAATCGATCCAAGATTTATTGGACGATATTGTGAAATTATCGAAATATCTTTGTCACAAAGTCAAACGAAATCAATGTCACGTAGGCAAAACTATTTGTTCGCTACTGTCAATTACCAATATAATTAGCAATGAGCTCAAATATGCAGGCCCACACATTTCACAGGTAAGTATAGCGTCACAACTACATCGTCTACACTTGCTTACGATTCTCGCAATCTACTCATTTGATTATTGAAACTGATTACAGATTGCACATATTTACGTATCGATATTATTACCGCTTTATTAATCAACAGAAGTCGGCGATGTAGTACCTACATCATTAATATCACCATCATCATCACCATCCATTATCAGCATCATCATCGTCATCATGCTACGTCACTGTGTGTCGCAATTACTCACGAAACTATTCACCTCACGGCATGTTTGAGTTCATTGCAGTTAAATACCTTGTTATCGTAAGCGAGATGCGACTTCGATCGTTTTAATTAAAGAAAAATTATTAGAAAAATATGATTTGAATTCTCATCCGTTAGGAAGACGACGAATCAATCACCGAAATAACACGCAACGGAATCCATCGAGATACCTACGAGACTGCACGGCCCCTTCTCTCAATTTTTTCTTTCTATCTTTTTCTATCTTGTTTGTCTTTCTCTCTTCTTCTTCTTCTTCCGTTTCAATCTCGCTCGCGGATAAAAAGCAGAAAGACCATCGAGTACTTTCTCTCGTGTGGACGCGCTCGACGCCGAGTGACGCCTTAGCTCTTTCCAAGTAAACTCCAACAGAAAAGACGAAATCGGAAATGAGAAAAAGAAAAAAAGAAAAAAAAAGTAAAAAGTGACGGGAAAAAATCACGAAAAAAAAAAAAAAAAACAAACAAACTGCCAAAATTCCCGAAAAAAAAAGTGTTCTGTAAGTTGACGGCCCAATGTTTTGCCACTAGCGTGACAGCTATCGCCTGCGAGTACGGGCCTCCGACAGAGGGATGCCATTCTTGTCCGCAGACGTGGACGTTGAGTTAGACGTCGTAGACAGAAACAATAAACCACCTGTGTGGGATGCGAATGTATACGGCCCCATTCACATCAAAGAAAATGTCACAGTGGGTACTATAGTGACGTCGGTGAAAGCCAGGTTTGTATGCCACGACATGACCGAGACAAGACACGTGACATGCCGTGCCGTGCCATGTAGTGCTGTCCCTCCTCCCCCCCCCCCCCCCGATCACCGTTGATCGCTATTTCTGATTTCATTGTTTTTTCCTTCTATTTTCTTCCCTTCCCCTTTCACCTAAATTCAATTACCCGTACGTTCTATTTGCCTCACCGTTCGCTTCGAATCCCTCCTACTAGTTTTGAGTTTTACTTTACACACACGTATATAAGTTCTCTCGCCTAAACGTTGTTCCTTCCGTTTATCCCCTTGGATTTCGTTTCTTCTTCTGTTCCTCTCACATCTCTGATTTTGTTGATGTTTCTTATATCTCTGTACATTTAATTCTCTCGTTAAACACACAGATATAAAATACACATAATTCTCTCTCTCTCTCTTTATTTCTGGTTGCGGAAGCACTTGTGGTTAAGCGCGGCGCGGTAAATCGCTAATTGGCGGACACTCCTTCTCCTACTACTACAACAACTTCTATTACTATTATTACTACCACTATCTTTTCCTAACATATACTGTAGCGAGTCGCGGCGATCGCTCTTCGACGATATTTGGAGGCAGCGAGTGTTCGATCGGGCAGTAATCTTCGAAAATAATCGGGCCTCTCGATTTTCAAATGGAGCAAGTGAAACACAAATTAATGCAAGATGCAGCTCTTTCATTATAAAACTCATATAATTGGATAACTTTCCCTCGAGAAAATCTTGTAAGTTTATCGTCCATTACCTCAAGGGACACGATTACCGATTATTACATGATCTCGCTCCATTTGAAGATTGAACAGGCCCTCGCTATTTTGACAAGGAGAAGAGCGACAGAAGGAACCGTGCGTCTTCAAAGACTCGGCAGACACAGCGATCGCCGCGCAAATGGTAGCAGATATACGTAATAATGTAACCATAATTATGCGATAATAACGCGGGAAGGCAAAGCGGGATTTCCTACTGGCGCCTCTCTCTCTCTCTCTCTCTCTCTCTCTCTCTCTCTCTCTCTCTAGCGTGCTAATATAAATGTACACATGTAATTAGGCGAGGATGTAAGCGAGAGAGATCCTGGTGCGCGCTCTTTTGCGTTATTCACGCGCAGAATGCAGGTTTGCGGGAGCGTCGTCGATCGTCCAGCCAGAGATCACTCAACCTCCTGTTCTGCGTACGAGCCAATATACGCACATCTCGCATTCGTGCGAATCTGTCGTTGTAACCTTTGTACAGTCGAACGAGCGAATTCGGCAGGGACACAATGTGCGAGCTCGCGCTCGCCAAACGTTCCAGGGGAAGATCGGAGACCGAGGCGGGGGAATGCGAAGAAGAAAAAGATAGCCCCCCTCCTTTTCTTCTTCTCCTCTCAAAGAGAGAGACCACCGGAAAGAGCGGGAACCAGCGAAAGATGCACCAATGACGTTATTCCCCCCTTCTGCCACGAGCCTTGGCGCCTTGACACTAACTGCCGTTGTTTTTTGTTCCCGTTTGTTTATATACACGCGGTCTGGCCGCATAGCGCGAGACGTACAAGCTGGAGGCGATGGCGAAAGACAGGGGCTACCCACCCTTGTCGCGAACGGTGGAGGTACAGATTGACGTTGTGGACCGTGCGAATAATCCGCCCGTATGGGACTACGTAGTGTACGGCCCGATCTACATTAAAGAGAACATGGCCGTCGGGGCTAAAGTTGTGTCTATTAAAGCCAGGTCTGTCACACTGTCAATGCTCCGTGCGGCTCTCTGCACGAACCCGCCCTGCACGCAATCTCGTGGCAGTATTGTTCTTGTGCACGTTAATTGATATTGTGTACGAATCCACATTACACGCATTTCGACACGTACACACACAAGCATATATACCACTACTCGCTCGCTCGCTCGCATACTTCGTAGATACACCTGCGTATACGTTTAGGGGATTGAGCATTCGTGAGAAACGTAATCGAAATGTCGAGGACACGTGGGAGGAGGAAAGGGTTCGCGCCCGAAGGATACCGAGTTTCTTCGCAGGACGCAGACGTTAGAGCCGATGATTCTTGAATGAACGTGAATTTGGATATGTCAATTAACTATTATATTTGCATTCGTAATTAAAGCATTCAAGTATTTCTATTTAAGAGTCACGAAATAACGGACAGTAGAGATTAGCAATTTCTCTCTCATCTTTCGCATAAACGAAGCTAATTAATTTCAATTAATTTCGATTATCGCCATCGCTTGATCAATTAATAATTAAAATATTTTACTATATCGATTGTTATTAAAGTAATTAAATCCGCTTGTACATAAATTCTAACTTCTTTACAAAGCTTTAAGAATCATTGTCTCGAATCGCGTTCACGCCTCACACTTCGAAGACATAAATGCGTCTCGCATTTGTACGAAAATGTGAAACGCATTCGCACATCGATACACGCACACATTTTTAGACGCGGTACATCCTCTTTTCTGCGATGTGAATAGCTATTTGTGATCGGTACCGGCCTCGTTAGCGCTTCATTTTTTTCGACTTAGCGTGCAGCAAATAGCGCGGTTGTATCGATATCATCGAGCCGATTACGTTCTCGAAACGTTTTGTTGCATCTCGACGCGACGCGACGAAACCATTTTCGTTCTCCCGCGGTTCAACTTTAATCGATTCCGCGGCGAGATTTAATTCCTTTCCGTCGAGATAATAAGAAGGCACCTCTTTCGCTTACACGTAAATTAAATAAACAAGGGATCGTGACTCGTAATTCGCAAGAATATATAAAAAACGTTACTGGAATCCGAAGAAGAGCCACGTCTCGAGAGAGTATTCGTCTCGTCGTATTTATCACTAGAGTGCAATTTTCCGAACAAAGCATAAGTCCCATTGTTGCACATAATCGACACAGCCGTGCTTCTACTATTATTACGTTAAATATTAATTGTTCGCCCATTGTTGCGTAATTGCCATTAATTCGCATGAATTTGAAAAACGGAAATTTGACGAATCGCATACCAAGCTGTCGATTATAGTGATTTAATAATCTAAAGTCAATTAATAAGTAATTACAATAAAAAATACGTATTAGTTTAGACGAAATTACTACGAAGCATTACAAGGTTTGATCAATTTTCTAAGTATTTGTTTTAAAGATTGAAAAAATATTCTCTACCATATTTTACTCCAACTTTTCGGATAAACGTTTAAAAAAAATATTGCGAACGAGGTGCATCATGAATTGCGCGATGGTTGGCAAAAAAAAATATAGCTGACCGATGCAAACACATCTTTTTGCAAACGTATGTACCCAAAGCTGCGTCGAAAAAACGTTAGTAATAGGTAGTTTGCGCTTGACGTATCGCTTTTAACGGGTAGTCTCGTGGAGGCAGGACTTCCGGGGAAAACGAATTAACTAATTACATACATGCACGATGCACGAGAAAGTGCCAGATGTCATCGTCATACGCTGTTACAAGATAGCATAGTACATTTTATGTAATATTTCCGGCGAATTTTCCGTGTTGTGCTATACAGATATTCCGGTGATTCATGATTGGAACACATGCTTTTTATAATATTTTTCGAGCATTTTAACAGAAATATTAGCGTGCGTTAAACTGCGCAGTTCATTTCGAATTTTTGGAGAAGCAAGAGATACATAGCAAAATTATATTTTTCATATCTTTCTAATTTTTCATCCGCTTCTCTTTATCTATATTTTCTCTCGTCTCCTTTTATAATTATAAACAATTAAATATTATTTTATTTTCACTAAAAATTTAGTACAATATTTTAATCATCAATGCAAAAGTAAAAAAAAAAAAATAAATATTTTTAAGAGATATCTACAAATCTCTCATACTTAATTTTTCAGTCTGAATATAATAAATATTATTACTTGCGTGTTAAACGTCAGGTTTCGGCAATTTCAAGCATTCGAGCAACAGATTTTCCAGATGACACGAATTCTACGTAACCGTTAGCGACATTTCCAAAGAATTAATTTCGATGAGTTTACTCGTTAGGACTGATTTAATGTGCAGTCGGAAAGGGATGCAGCAAAACGTTTCATTATTCGGCGTTAGTTTGCCATTTTCCGCCAACTTTCCTCATCAACGTCGTACCACGCACACAAATCTCAACGCAGGGAACGCCATCGGGTGTGCACACGCGTGGGCACACATATACACACCAACACACACACACACACATTTTGATATCACCCGCTGATAATCACTTCTCTCGTCGGGAATTCGCGGCCCTGCAAGAAACGCATTAACATCAATTCGTGCCACGCAGCGTGTTAAGCCGCAACATTAACGAGCAATAGGTATTTTAAGTCACGTGTTTGTTTCTGCGCTGCGATTCCATAGCGATATCATATACTACAAGTCATTGCCAGCTAATTTGTACCACGACGAATTCTCGCGGCGGATTTTAGACGCAGAACTTTCTCTCTATCTATCTACCTGTCTTATCTTTCATACATTTGTTGTGTGTGCCGTAAACATATTTTTGGGCATGTTTTATACGAATAGATTGCTTCCCCCTGAAATTATATATATATATATATATATTATTGATTTGATCGATTTTTCTCTCGTTTTTTTCTTATTTACCTCTCATAATTTACACTCACTCGTGCGTGTTTTCTTCCTCGTTTTTTCAATTATTTCGTGTTTTCGCACCGGATTGGCTTTTTTCAAAATTTACTTTCATCTTGTTTTTTGCTGTATGCGTTCCTGCCTGGGACTCGTCACCCACGGTGATCGGAGTCGCGGGCTCAGTCAAGTAGTTGTGACCGCAAATGCGATCGAGCAATTATAATTTCCGATGCCTGACTTGGCAAGTCGCAATCGAGCATAGTATGTCATTTGTACATACATACATATTTCGTTTCCATACTCATGTTTCGTTGTTATCAGTTTTAAATCACAATCTTGGTTCGTCGCCAGGACACGCATACTCATCCAATCATCGACATATGTTCCATGAATGCCGTAATTAATTTTTGGGCATGTTTCGTCAGTTGCTTATCTTGCGTTAGATTACGACGTGTGCAATCACGTTCTTCTGTTGTATTTTTTTTTCTTCCCGTTTTTTTTCCCCCTTTTTTCTTCGAGAGCGTAGTGTGCTCTCGTAGTGTCATTTTGTCGGCGACAATCTTTTTTTTTGTGCGCCGCTCGATAAGTCGAGCAACGATTTAGATTGTTGAATTGATGATAGCTAGAGCATATTTTTAATTGCTGGAATCACCATCTCGTATCACGTCGGGCAGTATAGTGTAGTGTGATTTATATAGCTTTACCTCTCCAATTAAAATTGAGCGAGCAAAAACATTTGCTAATTGACTGGCGCTGCTACTGGTGATGTTCGCGGATCGACTAGCGAGGATTTCTTTCTCTTTGTCGTTTTTCCTTTTACGGAAAGGAAAGAGAAGGATATTATGGATTCACGAGACTCGAAATGAAAACATCCTCTGGCGAGTGAGCTGACACCGAGATTAAAACTCAGTACGATTTTATCGTTTAAGAACTTTTTCGAAAATAATCAAATCAAATTATTACGAATCAAATATCTCTGTACATCGAATTTTTATGCTCGCGTTAACAGAAAAAAAATGTTTTATACAATAATAAATTTTTCGATAAAATCGTATTGGAATTGATTAACGATATGCTCACGTGTAAACATAATCACACAAACAGACACGCATACAGACACATTTGCATCGTCACCGCGCACCAGGGATTGTTGAGGAGCGGTTATGCACCGACTGGGAAATATAAGATCTACATTCTCTAAACTTTGTCCTTTCTACCATAACTTTTGACTACACGCGTCGCTCTGTGCGACAATCTTACCTGTACAAGCTCGCTTCTTGCCCACATACTTAACGTAGCTGTACGTGTACACGTATGTGCACACATTCACATATTCACTCATGTGCAAATCTTCGGACTAAGGGTCACGCTTATGAGCTGTACTTACTATACTGTTCCTATTATACTAACCAACATCACGCGCGCGGCATAAACTATTCGAGGCGAACGCAATATCCGTCAGACGTCCACGTATAATGAGCAATTAAAATCGCCGTGCACAAGTCGTCATTCGTCACGGGCGCGGCTTGCGCTATTATTCCGACAGTAACGTGAAAATTCTCCGAAATTAACATTTGACTTTGATAACACCGCTAACGAGCAATCGGAATTAATCAGCGAAAAATCGCACGGTGACGTGAGTTTATTTTATGTGCTTCGATTAATAAACATAGAATATATTTGGAGAAAAATATTGAAATATTATTCAAACGGTCAATCAATATCAATACTACTTTTGAATTTTCAGGTGAGGTTAACATTTAGCATTATTTAATTTCCATTGTGAGTGGATGAAGAGTAATTCAACATGATTTTTAAAGCAACGAGGGCAACTATTTTTTCATCCAATTTAGTTTCAGCGAACAGATATTTTTTTGAGAAATTTGTTCAAAAGTATCGAAAGCGCAATGAAAAGATTACAAGAGAAAATTGAATGAGAAGTAGAATAAATGTCGAAAAGAATTTTGAAAAATCCATTCGAGAGATCCAATCGAGTATGTTGATATAGACTTTAGAAACACACATTTCATCGATATTTATACTTGAAGATTTTATTTCTATATATATTAATCAAAAAATTACGTTATAAAAATTACGTTATAAAAATCATTTGCCTTTAAATAAATTAATTTTACCTTGAAAAAGTTTTAGATTGAAAATTAATCTTGATTGGAGCACATAATCAAAAATCGAAAGATTAACACACACGCCTGATTGAATATAGTTTATAGTGGCACACTAATTATTGCAATTATATTTGCCAAAAATGAGAAACGTAATAAATGACGATATTGTTAGAATCTTTTGCATAATAGTTTAAAATTTGAACCGAATTGCGCATCGTCATATTCCGAGATATTAATTGCGCGTTTCAAAGCAGCTTCGATATTTGGCCGATATTAATCCGCATTATATATTCCGCATTTTAAACGAATTTTAAATGAGTATTGCAGAACAGCTTCGATATTGCAAAAATTATGTTTTGAGTGGAATAATTTCTCTACGGAATATCTAATATAACCGCTCGGCCGTTATTTATTTAGTATGTAATATACAGATTGTGTCACAGATTCTCTTCTTCCTTTTAATTTTAAATTTTCTTCCTTCTTTTAATAATAAATTTAATTAATTCTTTGGCAATATTGCAGTCGATTTTATCTCAAAGGAAATTTAAGTTAGGAATAAATATAGGAACTATCATCTATCATGTTTCTTAAATATATATATTTATTCTTAACTCTTAAATTTTAAATTAAATTTGTAATTAAATAAAGGTAAATTTTGAAATTGATTAAAATATAAGATAAATAATAACAAATTGACTTCAATATTTTGTCGTCTAAAATAATTGTGCGATAAAAACTTGACTTGCAATACAACAAAATAAAATTTTAAAGTAATATGTTTGTAAATAAATAATTATAAATAAGGACAGATAAATAAAATAATAACAGCAAAGAATCATAAATATTTTATGTATATATTGCTATTTTAATCGTGTCTATTAAATTGAAATACATTCACGTCCGCACTTAAGTTTCGATGGAAATGTATTTCGGAATTCAATATTGATCAGACTGTCGAGTTGCATATGAAAACGCGATGCGCACATCGCGTATCACTCAAATGCCATTTTTTTAATATTCCGTTAAACTGCGACAAAGTATCCTTTGCGATTTTTAATGGCTGAAAACGTTCGTATGTCAATATTACTGTCCATTCCCCCAATATATCGCGTCATCACCACTAGTCGTAGCTCTCGACGATCCCGCGGATTTTTACACGACAAACGTGAAAAAAATGTAAAAAAATACATCTCGCGATATCGGTGACGACAGTAAACGAATTACTCGTAGTACTTATGTCTTTGATATCTGTTTTTATCCGTTACAGATCCGGAAAAAATCGCTGTGAATGTATTGGATTTATGTACAAATACAAATGTTTGTTACATGAGAATTTTTTACCACGGCAAAGTAGATTGCAAAAATTAACAATGTTCATCTTTGACGTACTTAAATGATTTGCATATATAATAAAAAAAATTTCGATATTTTATATAAATTCTTTTTAATATCGCGCAATAAATTAAAAATTACAATATTATTGGAATTATAAACAAAAAATGAACATTGAAATTTTTACTACGGAAAATAAAATTATTTAATTTAATTCATTAATAATCAAATTATATTTATACCTGTTAACACGCTAGCAGACAACGTAAAAATGTTCAAGCAAATGTGATTCATGAATTAAAATCCCGCTTACTGGCTGACTCTCAAAACAGAATAGATAGTATCACGCGGATTTTATGTTAGACCGGAAAAATATGGTTTATAAAAGGAAAAAAAGAATGTTATCGGGATTAAACATAAAATACGTCGTGCCGTGCCAGTTTTGCCGTCTCTAGAAAAAGATGACAACATTTTTCACAGCAAATCCTTCCATCCGTACATAAAAGTGCCATTTCCCGCAATTCGGAAATACTCTCGTCTATTTAAATAAAATTGGTCGTAAAAATATTCGTAGGAATATTTCTGCTACATTTTTCAAACAAAATCTTTTTGCGTTCTAATGCAATTTCTAGTAAATCCGAATGTAAATTCGTTTTAGATCGCGTTCGGGAGAGACGTCTCGTTTCCGGGACAAACGTGATTTAAGATCTCTCGGACAAAGTTTTAAGAATATCTCTGGAAAATGATATTTTAATGCTGAAACGCTTGCTTTCCATTTAAAATTAAGCGACGGGGACAGGAGAGATAGTGCACGTCTCTCGCAATATCTTGGTTCGGGCAAACTTAACATGGCGACGTTCGAAATATAACACGACTTAAATGATTGAGCTCCGAGCGGAATCACGAGCACTTAACAGATCTTGCGTATTCACAAACGAGCTCGTTTCGCTAACGGCACTTCCGTGCAGAGCGATGACTGAAGATTGAATCTTTTAAAGATCTCGTTAAGCATGATACACACAATGGCTGAGATATTTGCTACATTTAATTCCGGAGATTTATATCTGCACGGCGAATGTTTAACGATACGTTTAATTTAATTTTTGCGGGTTTGCTTTATCTACACGATTTTATTCGATGGAAATTATATATCACGTATATATCGGAGAAAGACATGTTGAAGTAGAAAACAAATGACAAATATAGATTCGCGTATTAATTATAGCGTATTAATTAATATTAATTATAATTGTAATAATGTTGATATCGCGATATCAATTACATTAATATTATTACAATTATAATTAATATTTGTGTATCTTATGATTTCGAAAATCAGATTTTCGAATTTATCTTATAAAAAAACTCACCGAGATTGTGACTTAAAGATGTCGATGTGATTTAAAGATGCGGAGAAGGACAGCACGCAATCTGCGAATAAAATAAAATAATTATTAATAACAAAATATATTATTAATATATATATATCAACAAGAAATATATATATATATATATATATATATATATATATACTTATTAATAATATGTATAATAATATGCAACATAAATTAATAGGAACTTTATTCCTAGGTACTCACAAAATTTCTTTTACTTTCAAATATTTGTTTCCTATTTTAATATCTTTTCCAGTATTATATCTTCTAGTATTATATTTGCAACATCTTTCCTGCAAGAAGTAATAATTTCGTAGTTGACATTTATATTCGCACTTTGATATCGTCTCTAATTTGTATATAATGAAAGAAGAGAATCTGAGAATTAACTTTGACTTTGACTTTTATAAGCAGCCATATAACATGCTCAATGCAGAGTACGGATTACATCCGGAAAAAATGCGAAAATTTTCTTTAATAAGCATTAATAATAGAAATATATTAAAGCTTAAAAAGAGATTTAGAAATTAAAAACGCGTAAGAAGATCAATTTTTCAATTAATTTCAAATAAATTTCATCCTAATTCAATTAGCAAATATCATGACATTTAAGATTGAAAATTAAATTAAATTATGATAAATAAAATTATCTGTAAAATGAGATTAGAAAAGTCAAATCGTCGACAAATTCGTCCAAGAATTTATTTTTCTTTTTCGTTTTCATCTCGTTTCCTCTTTTTAAAACATCTTATGTACAAAGTGTTCCCAGCATCAACCGTAATTTTAATAATAGATCATTTTGCAATGTTGCAAAATTGTATAAATTTATAATTAATGTTTCTTATAAGAATCATTTATTAGTTTTTAAAATACGATATATATTTAAAATACGATATATATAAATATCTCAAGATATAGTTAAATTTCGAAAGTAAATTTTTTAAATAATAAAAAAAACGTTAGTTTTCTTTATTAATTTCAAAAAAGCTTATAATAAAAGCGTATAAAAAATCCTGTTTTCAAAATTTAAAATTTATTATAGTACTTGGAATATCTTAATTAAAAATAAATAAATTCTTTCTCTCGCTCTCTTTTTATTACTGAAGAATAATTTTGAAAACGATGAAAACAATTTATCAAAATTATGGTTGTCCATTTCGGAACATGTTGTATGTCAACACCGTGCCCGAGACGACGGCATCGTATTCGAGTTAACAAACGGCGCTGTCAATTTCGATCGCGTGTCCTTTGAACCAAGGAGAGATCTCTCTCCCGGAGACACCAGAATCCTTTCAAATCAATGGACATTTCGTGGACGTCTAACGGATGACACGACGGCTGTGTACAGCCATGTGCATACGCGATGCGATCATACGTGCGGAACAAGGAAACGCACGCATTACACGTACATTACACACACACACATACACACACACACGCGCACACGCGCGCACCACACACCACACATATATATATATATATATATATATACAAATACATAAACGCGCGCGTGAATAGATAATAAACGATCGAACACGTAATAATTGAGCATGTAATACAGTCATGGTATGTTCGATCAATGAGCTGAGCTCGAACATGTGCAAATGATTATATTATATAAATCAGACTGTTATGGATTTTTTCAGGGAAAAGGATTAATTAAGATTGAAATTCTTGTAAAATTGATCCCTGATAAAATTTAATTTATTTGAATCGAATTGATTTATTCGTTTTCTTAAAACCGCAAAGAGAGCCTAAAGAATTAATTAAAAATTTCTATCATACTCTCGCTCTCTCTCTCTCTCTTTCTCTCTCTCTCTATCTTAATAATCTTTGTAAAAGATAAATGAGATTATAAGAAATTAATATTCTCTGTTCTTATTAATATTCTTAATATGATTAAATTGTTCTTATGTAATATCAAGAAACATATATAATTTGAAAATGCTTACATTTATTACAAGTTTTAAATAATAATATTTTTTATAAATTCAGAGATATTTCGAAAATTCAAAAGTGATAATATTAAATTTGAAATATTAAATTTGAAAATGCTTACATTTATTTCAAGTTTTAAATAATAATATTTTTTATAAATTCAGAGATATTTCGAAAATTCAAAAGTGATAATATTAAATTTTAATTTTTCAAAGAGTAGAAATTAATAATTTTAATTATATAAATCTAAAATATAATATATATTAAATTTGGATTAATTCTATTTAATGTGACCATTTCTGCAGAATGCATTTTCGAGGAGATAATTAATTTAATTTATTCAAATCGAATTAGAGACCAAGTGATAATGTGCAATTGAAATAATTAATTTCAAACGGAGCACTCTCCACAAATCGTAAATTAGTAAATAAAGACTAATTGCAGTTAATGAATTCTGCGTAACTTTTATTGAGTCAAAGCGGGATAATTATTTGAGTGAGATTTCTAAGACCGACTTTACTTTGCATCTTTTGTCCGATACTTAGTCACGAGATTAATTAAAGTTTAATGTTTTATATATAAGTATAACATAAAACTTATAGAAATAATTTTAATAATTCAAATTTTTAAATAACGGAATATTTAATTATGTAAATATTTACACATTTTATGTATTAATTGACTCTGTTAATTAATAATTCGTTTTACAGTAATTTACCGAGGGTATGTTTAATTGTTCAAAGAATATTTAGAGCGTATATGTGTTTGTGTATATAATTAAGTAAACAATATTTCCATCTAATGATAAAATATTTAAATAAAAATTTTAATTTATCTATATTTTTCAATATATATATATGCATATTAATTTATTAATTAAACTATTTCCTAAAATATCAAATTTATTTAACTTTTATCAGAATTAACATTAATTTCAAATTTTAGCCAACAATTTTTTCTCTCTACACAACACTTTACAGTATCTTTCCTAATTTCTTTTACTAGCATTGCCGAATTATCATAGATTAGATTAATAATAAATGCATTTTAGGAAAAAAAATATAAAAAAGATAATACTGACCTTTTCCAGATGACCAGCTAATTTCTTTTCTCATCGGAGGTCATTCTCCAAAGATCTTTCTTATGTCTTTTTCCAATGAATATCGGTTTTAACATTTTAAACTTTCTGATAATGGAATTGCCAGGCTAGATTTAAATCGCCAAAAAGAATTTCGCGAATTTTACGGATGAATTACTTGTATTACTGACCTACAAACCGATGAGCTCATTTCTTTTGACATTACCAATATGACATTATTCAGTATAATTTAATATTTCATTATTGCCAGATACGAAAATGTTAAAAATATCAAATTTAAACCAATTTGCAAATTTTTTCAACTCCAGTTTAATATATTTACATTTTTGTCAAAGTGACGATAAAAGGAACTTGTGGTGGCTACGCATAATAAGTAATTATGTATTCAGTTTTATATTTTAAGCTAAATTCTAATAAGATTCGCCAACTAGGTAAACTCGAAATAAAATTATCGTTATCGTCGAAGCATGCATTCCGTAAACTACATTAGTGTACAATAAAGACGTTAACAAGTAACAGTCTGATCGACTAATCATTCAATCACGAAGCTCAACTCTGCGCTCGAACAAGACTCTCGCGTTCTAACACGGCACATACAACGGAAACGCAACACTTTTGCTATTGAATTAACAGCGGTAACGGTTCGAGGATAGTAATTAGTTCGCGTGAACAAACGAGACGAATGTAGCTAGAGCAGCATATATATAAACATTCATATTTTGATTGCGTGAATTAGGATTATGGCCGCTCTTCGGCAGGAGCTCTCGCTCCGTGTGTATGTGTGTATGTGTGTGTGTGTGTGTGTGGGTGTGTGTTATATAATACGCGTACATACGTATATTGTACGTATACGACTTTATATGTACACGCGCAGATGTGTCTTAATTAAGTGCACCGAACAGAGAAACGGAAGGGAAAAAAGAAGGAACGCGGGCGACGACGGAAAGCGAAAAACGTTTTATGGCGCGTTTTATAGGTAAAAGTCACTCCACTGATCGCTACGCATTTTAAACAGAATAATTTCAATGATGACACCAGCCCTAATTTTCGATTTTGATACACATGGCAAGATGCACATTGGTATTCGTCATACGTCAGGTATATCACGGTGTGGAAATTAGCTTTGAGCGTCTCTAAAGAAAGGCGGCGTTATGGAAAAACGAGTTGACCCATATTGTGAGCAGTAGTTTTTCAGTAAATTAAGTTTGAGATGCGGAGTTTTTTTTCATGTTGCTCTGGCCCAGCTGTACATATGAGTCATTCTTTTTTTTTTATTTCGCGGGTTAACTCACTTTTGCGTAACGCTGTTATCCGGGGAGGGAATTCGCGATCAGCGAAATTATATCATTGCAGTTTCGAGCAAAAATAGATCACGCAGATGATGAATGTTTAATGTGCAGAGATCAGTGAGATTGTGTTACTGTAAACTACTACGAAACCGACGTTTTATCTTATTATTAGACATGTTGACACGCCCCAGCGAAAGAGTCTCTTTTTCCATAATGACGTTCGGGCGTTTGAAAAACAGAAAATAGAAAAGAATCCCATTTATACTTGTCTCTCTCTCTCTCTCTCTTTCTCTCTCTATCTTTTTCTCTTTCTTTTTAATTGCGTACATTATCGCTCGCGCATAAATGAAAGCGATACATCGCGCATGACAATATCTTTTATTTCGAGACTTATTTTTCCTCTCGTTTTATATTAATAGTACAAATAACTTTATACATAAATATACAGAATGCCCTGGAATATCTATCATTCCTTTTGTCTACAAACTCATTAGATTAATTAATGGAATAAGAATTGATCTCTTTCATCGACAAATATTTGATTGAATAACATTAAATTGAATTTCGATTTGTATGATTGTTTTTTCCTCAAAATGATTCTGACAATTGAACGGTTAAATCAATGTTGAAATAAATTTGACATTATTGTGATTCGAAAACGGAATAATACGTACAAATTATTATTGTTTAAAAATATGCTGGAAATTGTTTAAAAATATGCTGGAAAAAATATATTTCTCTTTCTTATTTGTTGATTTATCATAAAACACATATATCTATGGATAATAATTTTTTTTTAATATTTCGAACAAATGATACGATTTGACGCGTTTTTAAATTATATTTAAACGTCATTATTTAGTGCTAAAAAATTGTTAAAAAATATTGATATCCATTTACTAATATTTGATAATGATAATTCCATTTACTAATACTTCCAGTATTTCGAATTAAATAATAATTATATTCCTTAGCATGATAAATAATAAATACAATTTTTGGAAACATTAAAATAGACATTTTATAGACAATTTTATAAATTTTCTTATTTAACATTGAAAATGTGTATGATATGAATTCAGACGATGATATCGGTTCAAAATGGATCACGTTTAGCCATGGGGCATTCCTGTATATTCGTATCTTGAAACTGGAACAACCAATATCGTTTCGTGAAAAGGGTAGGTCAAACGTTACAGTACCGAGTACGTAACAATCGTCTTTCGATTCCCGAGCCACGTAAAGGATATATATTATATATATATATATATATATATATATATATATATATATATATATATATATGTGTGTGTGGTTCCATCTTCAAAATATCGATATGTATACATCGGCTTCGTTTCTTTCTCTCTTTCTCTTTCTCTTCTATCTTAGAAAATTTCCGTTCTCGTTTCTGTTTTTCCGTTTTCCGTTTCCGTTTCGTTAAGCCGTTCACGGCGCTCCCGGGCAGCCAGTGGCGTGCCTTTGTAATACGTACCTTTGTGTGTGTCGACAGCTCTGGAATCGACAATAATCCAACGGTCTTTTACCACTTAATGCCCGGTTCCACGGCCCAGACGAACAAGTTTCATACATTTTACCTCCAGCAACGCCCGGACCAATCGTCCACTTGGGCTGACATTAAGGTTAACCACCCATTGGACTACGAGAGCATAAAGGAATACAATCTCACCATACGAGTGGAGGTATGGCTCGTCTTTCGTATTAAAACATTTGAGAAAATTCTCCCGCAATAAAATCTTTTATAAAAATAAAAAGGGAAAAACAAATAAATATATGTCGTGTTTCGTTAATTAATATTTGCATCCTAATTTACGGAATCATTGCACCTAACTATTGATAATAATAACTATCTACAATATTAGCACAATTATTTACCGCATCGATAATTCTGCTTTCGATGCATTTAATCTCAAATGTAGATTACTCGCGTATGAAGCTTTGCGATAGGGAAAGGCTCAAAATTAATATACATATTCGCAAATATTTTTTCCTACTTTTATACGTAAATATGAAGATGAAAAATGTTAGCATCGAGAAGCGTGCAATGTGTGAGATCTTGTAAGATCAATTTGGTTCCTTCAGAATAATGGAGCTCAACAGCTCGCTTCCGAAGCGACCGTGTACATCATGCTGGAGGATGTTAACGACGAGATACCGCTGTTCACCGAACGAGAACAGGAAACCGTACTCGAGGGTGAACCGGTGGGCAGCAAAGTCACCCAGGTGAACGCAATCGACAAGGACGGAACGTTCCCCAATAATCAGGTAAATCGATATCAAGCGTTATTGCACAGAAACAGATCGACGTATCCCGGGACATACCACGATAGCAATCAATTAATTGCGATATTAGCCAATTATTTACAAAATAATGTACAACACAACACAAATTCTACGCTGTTGATTCTACGTCCATGCATCTCTTTTCGGCGTCTCTTAACCGTGAGAGAATATCAAATAAAAATTATATTTCCTAGTATATATGACTCGATTAAATATTTAAAATTAAAACACACATTTCATGATAATATGTACAGTTAAATTTCACAGCTGTTTTAATAAATAAACATCATCATAATATTGATGTTTCGATTTTAAAATATAAGAAAATAATTCAAAAGTATATATAAAATATTTTAATATTCTTTTGATCAAATTAATTTTATAATCAATTATAATTATAAAATCAATTTTACAATTATAATTAGAATCAGTGTGATATTTTGAGCTTCAAAATCAATATTATAATGCAATCAGAAAATCAAAGAAATAGAAAAATACTTTATATCCTTACGTCGTGTAACCGTGCATCCGTAAAATAATAGAAAATTAGTTCGATCATAATGAAAGCTAGGAAGCCGAGGAAGATGCAACGACACGGGTCTTCCCGTTTCTTTATCGCGCAGATCCGATTTCGAGGGGATCAATTGCAGGAGAATTGCATCGTGGCTGCACAAAAGGACAAAAGAACACACTCGTATCGCGCTATATCACCCCTCGTACGCTCGACCGGAACTTACGGGAGTTCAGTCGTCGAAGTCCTGATTGAGAGTGAGAGGCGGAAGAACAGCCGGGAATTGGGGAATACGGGACGCTTTAGACTGTAACTTAGATCGTCGCGTCGAAACTTTAATGATTTCATGCGCGGCAAAGCCGGTGTTCCTGCTGTTAAGCGGGGGACGTTATAAACTCTGTAACGGAGTAACGCAATTCCGACGATCGTGTTTGAGTGGCGTTGAATTTATCACGTACGGGCGCATTATAACGGATACACGCGTTAACGATGCGTATATACAATCGTGCCGATATTTAATCGCATGATTATCATTCGTTTTGCGCTCTAAACCAGGTTGCTACGCATATCGTAATGTAGCTGTAGTTACGATTATGGCACGTAATATTATGCGCTGAACATTGAGATATAAATTGCTGATTTCCGAGGGAAAAGAGAAGCGGGATATCGCAGATGGTGATTTGAAAAAAAGAGCCTGGCTTAAGTTAGATTAATTTCCTCCCCAGCTTGAAAATTCAACTGGAACTTATATCGTTACTTTCAAGTTTTTCTAGTAATCTTTTCAGCTGCTTTAAATCATGTTCGTAATCAGAAGTGACTTTATCATGTAAAATCAGAAAAAAACTTCGATTACTGATTAATTACGCGAAAGAATATTTTCACGCTTCACTTAATTTCAAAAATAAATTTACAATTTTCTTCCAATTTATTACGATTTTTTTTTTATTTTATAGATAGTATTTTTAGAAAATTGACGTTAAATACTCTGTATCTAAAGCGTTATGTGCCTTATATTTCACATAACACCAACCCCTTTAAAAGGAACGGAAAAACAAAAAAAAATCGTTGGGGTGAGAAAAATCTCGTGTGCACTTTACTACTGCAGGATAAACTTTCATCCTTTTCACATTAAACAGAAATAAGACCATTCGTGTAACAAAACAACTTCGTAAAAATAGCGCGCACGTAGCTTTCGAAAAAAAAAAGCTCTTCTTCCGTAGCAAACGAAAGCATAACATTCGTGAAACATCGTGAAATTTCCGCTGGAAATCTGCCGAATAGGTAGCTCTTGTAAGATATGCGCGCGACTGTAAATCTCGCAAGAAAGAGCGCGAAAGTGTTCCACGAGATCTGTCAAATATATGCACATTCCATTTGCACGTGCTACGCGCGAACACAGGAAATGCGCGCAATCTCGAGACAAAAGGGACACGACGAAAGTGGTCCACCGATTCGACATGTAGCCAAGCGTTGTAATCGCATTACATTGCACACTCGATATCGCCTTTGCTTGTTTCGCCCATTCTTTCATGCGCACTGTTATTGACAATTGCGGAACAAAGGGAATATTTCGCAACAACAAAGACAAAATGCAAAAAATCAATAATAAATAACATCGAAAACAAAATTCGCAATCTTTATAATTTTATATCTTACTAATAAAAAGTTTCATAAATGTATTAAATATATGGAACTGAGAGATATTTATTAATTTAGTCAAAAATTTAAATACGAATTAAAATTAGAAATAGAATATTTATAGATATATAAATATATATAAATATTCTATTTCTAATTTTTAGTAAAAATTAAAAATTTATCAAATGACATATTTTTACTGAAATCTTAGATAAATTTTTAATTTTTACTAAAAAGACTATGTAATGAGAATATTTATTAATAAAGACTAAATCAAGTTTATTGTTTCTATTATTATTTTAAATTAAAAGCTTAAAAAAATTATATATATAATTATATATCAAATTATATATAAAATTATGTATATAATTATGTATTAATTATATATATAATTATATATAAAATTATATATAAAATTATATATATAATAGACATAATTTTTTTTTAATTATATAATTAAAAGTTTTTAAAAAATTATATAACAGTTCGAAAGTAAGAAATAATTAGTTTATCGTCAAATATTTTTTTCTCTGAAATGCGGTAATATCGTTTGTCGTTTCATTAAAGCGAAATTGAAATGCACAAAATGCGCCAACAATTTTAGAAGTAGTCGAAGCAAAATCTCTTGCGAAATAGTCATTCAAATTTTCTTACGCTTCATGATAACCACTTCACGAAAATTCCTCACTCTCGGCATCATCATCCGATCTAGACCAGAGCATTTTTATGCGTTTCGCGTGCTTTATACATGCATGCACTTTAATATGAAACAGGAAGTTTTCGCGAATAAAGGTAAAGTAAGTCGGATTGTAAAAAAGGTCATGTACGTCCAGGATGTAGCGCGAGGACTGAACTATAATCCTGGATAATATAAAGCAGCGAATATATCTTGGAAACATTAATGATTCTTTTAATAAATATTACAAATAGTAACATTTCATATTATGTATCCTACTGCAAATTATTATAATTATTACTATTTTGAGAAAAACAATATAATATAGAAAATAAAAAACACACTTGAGATCATATATTATTATATATTTTAATAAATTTAACTAAAAACTCTCTTGGTAAATTTTTGCTTTATGTTCCGTAACAAAATTTCAAGTAAATAAAAGAATCTCAATGATTTATGGTCGCGTTATATCAAGATTATTCGTTTAAATTATAAGAAACAAGTGTAATTTTTTGTCCCCCCGCGATGTCCAGCGGAAGCATCGTAATCCTTTGTTACTTATTTTTGTTCGCCGAGACACCGCAGGTGAAGTCGATAAACTTTACACGTGTTGTTTATCTAGGTCACATATTACGTGGTGGAGAGCGACAGGAACGAGGGCAAGGATTACTTCGAGATCAACAGGGAGACCGGCGAGATCTTCACAAAAGTAATGTTCGATCGCGAAAAGCAGGGCGCTTACGCCCTCGAGGTGGAAGCCAGAGATGGAGCGCCTTCCGCGCGACCCAACAGCAACGGCCATCCTAATTCAGGTAGGTGATACGGAAAATTTTATTTAAAAGCCATTACGCACACCATAGAAAATGTGTATCGCTCTGCCTGCCTATATGTGCGTGCGAACACGTACTATAAATATTTCAATAAATAATAGACCGCAGCAGCAATATATTTATATTCAGGTTCATGGCCGGCTCTCTCTGAGAACATGTCGACCATGCAAAATTACGGTATAAAATGGTACTGCAGCGGAAAAAGAGCTCACACCTCCAGCTTGACATTATAAATCCATATTCAAAGATATGACTTATATAGCGGATATTATAGATAATTTTTTTTATGTTAGAAAATCTCTGATGTCAAAAGACAATTTTATCATGTTTTACATATGCCATCGGTTCAAAACATTTATAAAAAAATCTGTAATTTTTGGAATACAAGAAAAGATTAATTGTCAACTAAAAAAGATGAATTACCAAAGAGAGATTGAAAGAAATGTATTTGTTGTTTTCGAATCGTGACCGAAATGAATGAAATATGAAAGGGGCAACGTATTCTGCTTTGCACGTTTTATAAATTCGAGTAAATAATGGGTTATAGAAAAATAATATTTATATTCATGCTGAATGCGTGCAGATCATACAAAATTACGTTATAAAATTCCAGTAAAATATTCGTTTATTACTCGCCGGCAGCAAGAAAAAAATCATATAACCTGAAAATTTATAAATTAATGGATTCATCCGCGAAAAAGTTGAAAACCTTATTAATTTCATGTTTACATTTTCTACTTTATTGTTATATATATTTTTCACTTTTCGAAAGAAATAATTTCCTTGATTTATGCTCGTTGTTTTACAATATCTTGAAATTTTTTATACTATTTTCGAAGATGAGTGGTTCGGATATGAGCGCAAATTTCTGCGTTTTACAAAAGAATTATCGATTCGCATTGACAATCGAATTATCCGATGAATTTAATATTATCAGGGAATGTGCGAGTGTGTCGTCTCCGGGGAAATTTGTGTAGGCACCTTCAGTCAACGGGAGCTCTTTGGAATTTTTTCACACAGCGTGTGATTTGCATTATCAGACCTTCATAGTATGAAGTTCATTAAAGTGCATTAAAATGATTACGATGTCCAAGCGAGTGCGCGTCTTGCATTAGTTGATTACATGACTGTGCTACTTGCTCACAACTTTTAATAAAAGAAAAACAGATTTGAGTTCTTAAACTGACTTTATACGTATTATAAAAGTTATGGATGACGACTGCTAATATTTAACGCGAGACAATAGTTGTTTGCAATACTTCGGTATAATATAATTAATAAATGAATTATCAAAATGCAAATTTTATAGAACATAATTATAATTGTGTATATGATATAATATATATAATTATAATTATATAATGTAATATAATTATAATTGTGATAATATGATATAATATAAAAACAAAGATTATAATTAATATTATAATATTATCAAACATCATTGATTAATATAATTCAATTATCATTAATTTATATTAAATTTTAGCCAATTAATAAGACAAAAGATAAATCAGAAAGAGTAGGAAGAGGTTCTGGAGTGATTTACGGATCACTTAATTAATCTATGCAATTACTACCATATTACAAAATCGACGATAAATGTGCGGTCCGATTACTAGTTTAATTGCAGCAAACGTTAATCCCCAACGACTGTTTATAGTTCGTTGCACGTCGTGACATTAATTTCCGCTTTCTCAATATCTTCTTCGTTGAGAAACTTTATTTAATGGCCTTTCATACGTAATTGATTGTCCAAAGATAAACGCAGATATCATCTCTATCATTCAATCTGATGAGATCATTCAAATATTAGATTTATTCATTTTTTCTCATATATTTAAAAATATGAATGCGAAAGGAAAATTTTAATAAGACTGCTCCATTTTTTAAAATAAAGATTAAAGACATTCAAATACACATTAAAAATACAAATTCTAAAAGCGATTAAAAATTTTTTCTCTATTATACTTTATATATTCAAAATTCATATATTCAAAAATTCATGAATAAAACAATTTTTTATTTTTTGATAAACTTTTCAATAAATTCTTTTTCCAAAATGGATCCAGTTCATGGTTGATTATACTTTCTATAAAATTTTAAACTTCGAGTTGCCGGTTTATCGATCGGCTTTAACATTGCGCTCATACAACAGAGTTGCACTCTGTTTTTTGCATATCGGCTTGTGCTAAGTATGTATGTAATTAATTAATGTTCTAATCGCCGAGTCGCTCCGAACACAATGCGCACTTCCGCTAATTAAAAGCCAGATCCAAGAACCTCGAGCAGATAATTAGTTCTTAACGTCATTATTCAGTGTTGTGCGCCGCATTGAATCGCATTAATATTGCATTATAATGTACGCACCACCTAACATGCACACTATCGGGTAAATGAAATTGATTCACATTCCATATTCGTTCCCTTCTCGCCATTAGCTGCCGAGAAAATTACGTTCGAGAAAATATATAGAAAGGTTTCGCGAAATTAGATGTTTCTTATGAAGCTCCTCTGCGAGAACTTTTACAACCAACACCACGACAATGTAACTTACAGACTTCGGCTCAGGTTCTCCCAAATTATCGAGAAAGCCAGACTAGCTCGACTGCCTCTTCCCTTGTCTCTTTTGAAAGCTTAGCTTATCAAGAAGCAGCTTTATAACATCCACCATCATAAATATCTTCTTCAGGCGCTTGCGGCTATATTTTCAGTAAAGGCCATGTAGAAATTGTTTTAATATTTAAACAATGTTTAGGATTCTATTTCGAAAAAGCGAAAGAGAGAGAGAAAACGAGGGAAAAGTTAATATATAAGTGATAAAAATTTTGTTGCTTGATTGTATATAAATATCAAGCGACAAAAATTTAATAAAGTTTTGTTGTAAAGCCAGTAAATCCATAGCCTAAAAAATGCAATTTTAGTATTTCATTCAATAATCTCGAATTAAAAATTAAATTTTAAATAACCTTAAATTAATAATGATAAAGTATTTAAAGTATTTAAATTTGTTTTACATAAATATGTAAATATATTTAATAGCATATATATAATGCAATAGATTTTGATATAATTGTCACGTAAAATTTGAGATAAAATTTAAAAACGTGATATTTTATATATTGCTTTATTTGCAAAACAATTTAAGTGCACCAATTTAAATGCTATCAATTTCAGCAATTTAACTTGTTTCATTAATTTCAATAAAATTTGAAGTTGAAAATGCATCACTTTCTAAATAAATTTATACATGATACTAAACATGTCTTAAAAAATATAATAGATTTAATCTCGTAAAATTATATATGTTGATCTGTTTAATCGCGAAACGCACTGGTGAATTTATAGCCGCGCTTGCTCATGGATTTACCAGTCACGCTCTACATCGCGGGGATTACACAGATGTATAAAAAAAAAAAAAAAAAAAGATCTGTTTTGGGACTGGAGTTACTGCTCGTTGAAAGCATATTTCGATTTGCCTCGCGCATCGCTTTTTAAGATTTTCACGAGCATTTGTCGGAAAAGTTGCGAACTTTATTGGCTTTTCCTTCGCGGAAAGTCGAAATACGGAAGTACGCGCACGTAAGTCGGGATCTCTATGCTTTACAACGCAATCCCATTTCTAATAAATTCATGATTGATTCCATGCGGTGCGCCGTTCCTCGCCAGCAGCATCGATTCCTTTTACAATCATGCGACCGCAACGAGCGATTTCACATAGCCAGACGAAGATTGTATTTCTCGAATGAAACTCGCTATTAGAATTTAATCTAGGATTATTGAAATGTGTTTTCGTATTAAATCTGAAAATTTAATAATATTTTAGCATCTCGAAAAGAATATAAAATCGAAAATAATATAAAACTATTTCAATTTTTAACGGCGGATAAACATATAATTTTGGAAAATATTATTTCCTTCACCTCCTTATCTTAAAAAAAGTTTAACGTTTAAAAGCTATATATAATCTTCTATCTTTTTTAAAAATCGCTTATTGCATTTATATATTTAAAAAGAGCAATTATATAAGAATGAAGAACTTTTTACGAGAATAAGAATTTTATAAGAATTTTATAATTGTCTCTGTGAATTTTTTTCATGTAATTTCTCTTTAAATTTATTAAGTTCTACTCCATTATCATATAATATCTTAATAGAATATCGACTTAATAGAATATGTAATTTCTTGTATTATATTATTTTTTACATTTATTGTAAATTATATTGTATGATATCGCATTAGGATAAAATTTTTCTATAACTCCGGAAATCCGACTGTATCGTCACGGATATCTTACATCTTGTATCTTTTGCCTGCTCCGATTTCCATTTCGATTATCCACTTCGAGAGAAAAATGTTGATTTTGCAATTGTCGTTTAGATGTATCGAAAATCGTAAAAAGTGCATGTAAGCCTTTTCTTCCCAATGGCAGCATATGTTATGCAATATATTTTACACAGTGTAAATATGAAACCATCTATATAAAATTTAAAAATACTTGTATGTTTCTACGAATAATAGAAATACGTTATTAAAGAATACTCAAAAGAAGCTTCTATAAAAAGAGTTTTTTTTTGTTTTCCACCGATTCTTCTCTGATACGGATATTGGGAATCACGAATTTCACAATAAAAAAGTTTAAAAAAAGTCAGACGCGAGGAACTTAACAGTTTACTTCAACTTTACAGTCTATGTGTGTCCTTTCATTAAAACTTAAACCATTTCTTTGATGCTCGATTTGTAGTTGAAGATTAACATGAGATACATGAATCGCATTAATGCCGATTTAAGTGTAGTAAAGTGCATCCATATTGCCGCGTAAACGAAAGACTTTAATGAGAAGCGTTAAATCGCAATTATGCAAAACTGCATTACGCTGTTAGACGTTAAAGAGAAACGAAATGAATTTCCAAGCACGACTCCTGGCGTAAGTAGTTCGACTTTAAGCTAACGGATTATATTAGTCCAGCCTTTCTCCGCGCTCTGTAAAAAGCTACGAGAGAAACATTAACATAGAAAAGATAGGGAAATGTATTTCGTGCACGTAGCGTTCGAGGACGGGTAATTTCAGTGATTTTAGCATTCATGCGTGAAGATTAAATCACTAATACGATTTTTACAAGTCATCAAAGCGTTATAAATTATCGATTTAAATTTTTCTATATTAACAAGATTCGTCAAATGTACCTTCCTTCTCAATATTTATTTTCCTTTTTTCTGTCGACGTGATTTTTATCGAAAGATTTAATTTTTTTCCG